AGAGTGTCTGAGCGCGACTCCAAAGCTGTGATCAAGAATTGATACGAGTCACTCAGGCTGCCGAGGAGTGTGATCACCAGATCGTCCTCGCAGACTGGAGCCCCCACCGCTTCTAGCTGTTCCGCCAGCGTCTTGAGCTTGTTGATGTGTTCGAGCACATCGTCGCCTTCTTCCATCATTGTCGTGAAGAAGCGACGGCGCAAGAACAGCTTGTTGGCAAGACTCTTCTTCTCGAAGTGGTCTTCCAACCTTGACCATGCGTCGCATGCACCACTTGCCGACCGGACCAACGGTAGCTGGGAATCTTCCATGGCTAGACAGATCACTGCCATCGCCTTTCTTGACTTCCTCTTGTACGTCGCTTGGTCCAACTGAGTCTCGCACTGTTCCGCCTTGATCTCACCGCTGACGACCTCCCATAGGTCCCGTTCCTCCAGCACCATCTGCATCTTGAACTTCCAGGCGTGGAAGTTAGTTCCATCGAACTTGGAGATGCGGAGGGAGGAGGCGTCCATGGCAGCTAAGCTTGAATTGTTGGCGGTTTCAGAGTCTGACGAACTTGGGCTCATAACCTGATGAACTTTAGACTTCTTGGTCCGAGTGCAAAACGCAAAGTGAATATATATTTATAATAGGTACTTAGTTCGCAACTTTGAATACTACCTCTAAGCCTATTATTCGCAGTGACGTCATCCAGTGACGTCACCCACTGACGTCACCCACTGACGTCATGCAATGACGTCATCCAGTGACGTCATTTCCTGACTTCGCCCTTACTGGTACATACCGGTACCCACCGGTATAGCGAAGCTTGGTCTTCCACTTGCTTCAACACTTGACGCAGCTTGACGAGGTGTCTTCTTCACAGCCGCTGTCTTTTCAACAGATTAGACGCGTAGGATGATGAGACGCTTCATATGATTTATATATGCACCACATATAAATCATGTAGTAAGTAGTAAGCCCCGATAATCAATCACTTTCCAATCTTCCATCTACCCCCCAAGTGTCTTCTCCGGTCTTCCGAGTGGACTCCCAGCATCACTTCCAGTTTCGGTCGTCAAGCTTCACACCTAACAGCACTGCTTCTTAAAGATTTGTCTTCCATGGGTCCTCAGGTGTCGAAGTGGAGCATCTCGAAGGTATTGAAGGTGCGCTTGTCACGGTTTCTCGAGAATAATTTTGAAACATCTTCCCTTCCTGACATCCTCGACACACACTTGGTCCATTCGGTTTGAAAGGGATGTAAGCGTCTTTAATCATGTTGCTTGTCACCATCTTGCGAAGTACGTCGACTGAAGCATGGCCCATTCGCGCATAGATGTCTTCAAATTTCAGCCGCGAAGTAGCAATCACAGATCGTTGTGATGTGCGAAGCCAGTAGGGTCCATTCATAATATCCGCCATCGCCACCACTTGCTTGGAGTCTTTGTGCAAACTCTTTATCTCACTTTTATCAAACACCACTTGGAACTTGCCGCTTTTGTTAATCTGGGGTATCGACAGTAGGTTCTTGTTCATGCTTGAGACATTAAGTGCATCCTCGATTTCAACTTCGCGCTCTTCACCGTTTGGTAGGACCACCTTTTCGACGATAGTCCCAACTCTATTGATCGCAGCCTTGTTTCCGTCTGCAACCAGCACATCACCTTCATTGCGCTCGTCCAGAACTTCAAACTTGGACTTTTCATTGAAGATGTGGTGCGTTGCTGCTGTAAATCGCCCACATTCCCACCATGGTCTTGGCTGTCGAAAGCTCGCATTCCAGCGAAACAGCAAACGCCACTCGATCATGGTCTTAGTTGTTGCCGTTGCCGTTGTAGCCGTGCCATTGGACTTGATTTGCTCCGCGTCCACGAGCCCAGTGGCACGGCCCTTGTTGCCGCTGCGTCGATCTCCTCGGTCGTCTTCCCTCTGTTTGGTCCAGCACTTTATCACCATGTGCCCCAATCTTCCGCAGAACGTACATTGACGGAATTCACGCTCGTGCTGAAGGCCTTGGTCGCTTCTTCAGTCTTCACCAATGTCGTCTTGTTTTGTTGTCTCTTGATGTGCTCATTCGTAAGCACTCTCACGACGTCTTGCGACCGCAGTTCTGCGCTGCTCATCTCCAAGTTGAGAACAACGTATTGAGGGTTACCGGTACAATCCGAACCTAGCGCGTAGTTCTTACGAGATAGTTTTTACATCGGTAATTACCTCAGAGATGATTAGACGCGTAGGATGATTGGACGCGTGTAAATCAGGTTGATTAGATGCACCATGTGATTGGATGCAGTCTAGAGTAGGCAGAAGTTAAGACCTATAAATCAATCACTTTCGAATCCTCCCTCAAGTGAGCAAGTGTTCTCTGCTTCGTTCTCTCCGGTCTCTCCGCTTCGTTTTCTCTTCGCCTCGCGCTCAAGTTACAACGCAACGTTCTCATAGCTCTTGGGGAGACTGCGCAACAAGCGGATCGCCACGTCTTTGTCCTCCATCTTAGCGCCGATGCTGCTGAACTTAGCGCTGATGTTGAGAACGTTGTTGCAATGATGCATGACATTGCCGCCTTCCTCCATCTCCATGCTGAACAGCTGGCGCTTCAAGTAGATGCATCCCACCTTCTGAGATCCGCCGTAGAGAGTCTTCAACCGTGCCCACGCAACCCACGCTTCTTTACACTCATCAACCACATCATGGTAATCCGCGCTCATCTGAGGCAGCATCAAGCCGATCGCAATGTAGTTCGTCTTGACATACTCGTCACTAGCGCGAGGATCAGCGAAGGCGGGGGGTGGTCTCCCGGATGACTACGTACCACGTCGACTTGGTCAGGAACACGCCGCGCATGTAGCGGCTCCACGTCGCATATTTTTTACCATCGAATTTGTCGATGCAGATCTTGGTGGCGGAATCTTGAGCAGAGGACATCGCGCTTAGGCTTATAACCTGTTAAAGTCTGAAGAGCACTTGATGAAAGAACCGAAGCTTGAAGAAACGAAAGAAGTCTGCACTGCAAAGTGTAGACGACTTACGACGGAGAAGGAAATCTTTGGAAGTGAATTTATTTCTGGGTTGTTTAAGCTACCTGATTGATCCGTGTCCTGATTCATGCATTTTGCACATTTAAATCATAAATCATAGAACATGTAGGTCATCCAATCTTCCTATGCGTCTAATCATTGGTAAGCGCTCACCGTAATTACGCGAGACCGACTTGGACAGGTTTACGGTTTACACGGTATCTGATAATAGTACCTTAACCGTCAACCCACGATACGCCCCCTCAATGCGAACACGCGTGCATGCCAAGCGCTGCCGTCAATTCCCTGTGACGCGGTCCTGGCAGTCCCTTTGTCATGATGTCCGCCATCATCATCGCAGTCTCACAGTACTCCGACTTGTCATCACCACGCTTGACTTCATCGCGACTGTGGTGGTACTTGGTGTTGACGTGATTGGCCCGACCATGGTTCACAGGATTCTTCGTCATCTTGATGCACGATTGATTGTCTTCCATGATCTTGAGCTCGGGTCTGGGCTTGTCCTCTGCGGCATTCAGAATCTCGCATAACAGGCGATGCACCCACTTGCCTTCTTTAATTGCCAGACTTAGCGCGACGTACTCTGCTTCGCTTGTCGATAGCGATACGCTTGATTGCTTCTTGCTTTTCCAGCTTATCGGAGCACCCATCAGGATAGGCGCACATTCTGAAGTCGACTTGCGGTCTTCATGATCACTGGGCTAGTCTGCATCCGAGTCGCCACATAAATCCACCTTGTTGTCGGGTTTAACGAAGATGCCGTGTGACTTGGTTTCTTGTAGATAACGAAGAATTCGCTTGACTGCCATCCAATGCTCGACTTGGGGTTCTCCATGGAACGCGAAACGTAGCCCACAACAAAAGCAATGTCCGGTCTTTTCGCGGTCATTAAGTGCATCAAAGCACCTACTGCTTCACGAGACGGAGCGTTGTTCTTGGATGCTGCGTCGCTTGGTGTGAGTCGAGAACTGATATCCGTTGGACTGATGACGGCCTTGCAATCACTCATGCCAAAACGCTTGAGAACATCGTCCACGTATCGTCGCTGACACATTGTCACACTACCGTCGATGTTGTTCACCAGCTCGATGCCCAATACGAACGCGCACTTGCCACTGTCAGTCATATCGAAACGCCTTTTCAAGTCACTCTCGGTGCGCACAATTACCTCAGTCGAACTGCCCGTTGCCAGCACATCATCGACGAGACCAAAAACAGCACGCACTTTCCGCTTGCGACCTTGAGATAGAGGCATGGGTCGAAGTCGGACTGTTGAAATACAATCGAGTAAACAAAGTCATAGAAAGTCTCGCTCCATACCCGCAATGCTTGTTTCAGTCCGTAGATCGCCTTCGCCAATTCGATGCAGTCAAAGTCTTCATCACTGTCGACACCTGCTGGGATCGCGCAGAACACCTTTTTTTCATCTTTCCGTACAAGAAGGCTTTCACCATGTCCAGTTAGTCCAGTGACCATTTGAAGTACTTGGTGCTCGCGATTACTATGCACAGCATCACGTACTTGACCACGGGCGAGAACGTCTCCGTGTAGTCGATGTCATAACTTTGGCGAAAACCCTTGGCCGCAAGTCGTGCTTTGTATTTATCGATCGACCCATCCGCCTTGCGCTTGATCTTGAAGACTCACTTTGTGCCAATGGCGCTTCACCCGATGGGTAACTTGGCCGCACGAAACACACGCGAAGTCGCATTGACTCGAGCTCTGCATTAATTGCCTTGCGCTAGTGCGCTTGGTCCGGGCCAGTCACTGCTTCTCTAAATATCGACGGGCTCAAAGATGCACTGCTGCTTCAACAGCGTTTGCACTTACCTGTTGAAATACGAAAGAAGTTGGTGTGTCACGTTGCTCGACTGACTTCCTTCATCTTTATTGGCTCGACGTGAAGAGAGGTCGTCTGAAGCACTTGCCCCTTCCAATCTGGGTCGTTGGCGCACTGCTCGGGGCATATTTGCATCTTCATCTTCGTGACTGAGTTAGGCCTTGCGCATTCCTATTCATTTTGAAGTATCTAGGAAGCGGATCTTTATCATCAAGATCAAAGGATTCGACGTCCTGTCCATCAACACCGTCATCGGAAATCAGCATAGAAAGTCCAAAGGCTGACTCTTCAAAGTTGACATCACGACTTATCGTCTCCTGCCCCACTTCAATGTCATAAACTCGATAAGCCTTAGACATTTCTTCGTAGCCCAAAATTAACCCAGTACGTGCCTTGGGATTCCGCTTGAGTTGTTTCTCCTTCAGAGTTAAGATGTAAGTGTGGCACCCAAAACCGCGCATGTGCTTGACACTTGACTTGGAATTGTAGACAATCTCGAACGGTGTCTTGTGTGGAATCTTGGGTGACGGCAAACGGTTCTTCACATAGACTGCCGTCATTGCCGCTTCAGCCCAGAAGCACTTGTCCAACTTGGCATGATGGAGCATGCTACGACCGATGGTGACGATAGTCCGAATTGCGCGTTCAGCAGTTCCGTTGGCTTGATCAGCGGATGACACCGTGGTTTGCTGTTCGATGCCTTCGACTTCGTAGAAATCTTGAAGCGAGCTTGTCGCAAACTCGCGGGATCTATCGTGTCACAAAAACTTGACCTTTATGTTGATCTGCTTTTGGACAATCGTGATGTACCTCTTGATGTACTTCTCACTCTCCGACCTGGCATGCAGACAAAAATCCTCTATGCATCCGCTGGTTTCATCCGCGATAAGCAGCAGATACTTGCTGCCCCTTAAAGATTTTTCTTCCATGGGTCCTCAGGTGTCGAAGTGGAGCATCTCGAAGGTGTTGTAGGTGCGCTTTGTTGAAAAGACAGCGGCTGTGAAGAAGACACCTCGTCAAGCTGCGTCAAGTGTTGAAGCAAGTGGAAGACCAAGCTTCGCTATACCGGTGGGTACCGGTATGTACCAGTAAGGGCGAAGTCAGGAAATGACGTCACTGGATGACGTCATTGCATGACGTCAGTGGGTGACGTCAGTGGGTGACGTCACTGCGAATAATAGGCTTAGAGGTAGTATTCAAAGTTGCGAACTAAGTACCTATTATAAATATATATTCACTTTGCGTTTTGCACTCGGACCAAGAAGTCTAAAGTTCATCAGGTTATGAGCCCAAGTTCGTCAGACTCTGAAACCGCCAACAATTCAAGCTTAGCTGCCATGGACGCCTCCTCCCTCCGCATCTCCAAGTTCGATGGAACTAACTTCCACGCCTGGAAGTTCAAGATGCAGATGGTGCTGGAGGAACGGGACCTATGGGAGGTCGTCAGCGGTGAGATCAAGGCGGAACAGTGCGAGACTCAGTTGGACCAAGCGACGTACAAGAGGAAGTCAAGAAAGGCGATGGCAGTGATCTGTCTAGCCATGGAAGATTCCCAGCTACCGTTGGTCCGGTCGGCAAGTGGTGCATGCGACGCATGGTCAAGGTTGGAAGACCACTTCGAGAAGAAGAGTCTTGCCAACAAGCTGTTCTTGCGCCGTCGCTTCTTCACGACAATGATGGAAGAAGGCGACGATGTGCTCGAACACATCAACAAGCTCAAGACGCTGGCGGAACAGCTAGAAGCGGTGGGGGCTCCAGTCTGCGAGGACGATCTGGTGATCACACTCCTCGGCAGCCTGAGTGACTCGTATCAATTCTTGATCACAGCTTTGGAGTCGCGCTCAGACACTCTTAGCTGGGAGCTCGTGACGTCTCGACTGCTTCATGAAGAAATGAAGCGGAAGGAGCAAGGAAGTAAAGGTGATGAAGCTTCGCAAGGTCAAGCGTTCATCACAAGGGACAATCAGCGCAAAGGGCGACCAGTGAAGAAGTCCTGGCCGTGCCACAATTGCGGAAAGATTGGTCACTGGATGGCGGAGTGCCCCTCGCGCATCCAAGAAAACACGGAGAGACACCGGCCACAGCGTGCTCAAGACAGCGGCGACCGCTATCGATCACAACGTGCAAACGTCGCTCAAGAAGAAGACTCGGGCGACTACCTCTTTTCGATCGGTGAAACGACATCTGCGAAATCGAGCGACATCTGGCTGGTCGACTCCGGGGCGACGCAGCACATGACGTGCTCCAAGAAGTTCATGCGGAACTACAAGGGGTTTGACGCTGTGGATGTCCATCTCGCGGATGATGGAATCGTCCAAGCAATCGGCAGTGGGGACATTGTCATGTCGATGAAGACACCCCAAGGGATGAAGAAAGGTGTGCTCACAAACGTGTGGCACATCCCAAAGTTATCCAGAAACCTGTTCTCGGTCGGCCGCTTCACCAAGGATGTCGGCCCAGTGACGTTCACGAAGGATGGGTGCTATGGAGAAGCGAAAGGGACCAAGTGGAAAATTGGTGCCCGTGAAGGTAAAGGACTGTTCAAGCTGCAAATGACTCCAGTGGCGCCGGAACAAGCAAATGCAGCCAAGTCGTCGGGATGTCAAGGGGGCACCAAGTCGTACCTCTGGCACCTTCGGCTTGGCCACATAGGTCACGATGGACTCAATTGCATCGTGACGAAGAACATTGGAATTGGCATCGACATATCTTCGGTGAAGAAGTGGGACGTGTGTGAAGGTTGTGCTCTGGGAAAACAGACTCGAGTGCGCTTCCAATCAAACACTACAGCTCGCACCTCCAAACTCCTCGAAGTGATTCACAGCGACGTATGCGGACCGATGTCGATGGCAACTTTCAGTGGAAAACGGTACTTCGTGACATTCATTGATGACAAGTCAAGATACTGTGTCGTCTATCTGCTCAAGAGCAAATCTGAAGTTGCGGCGAAGTTCATGGAATACGCTGCGATGGCCGAAACGCAAACCGGAAAGCGCGTGAAGTACCTTCAAAGCGACAATGGGGGTGAATACAAGTCCTGTTGAAAAGACAGCGGCTGTGAAGAAGACACCTCGTCAAGCTGCGTCAAGTGTTGAAGCAAGTGGAAGACCAAGCTTCGCTATACCGGTGGGTACCGGTATGTACCAGTAAGGGCGAAGTCAGGAAATGACGTCACTGGATGACGTCATTGCATGACGTCAGTGGGTGACGTCAGTGGGTGACGTCACTGGATGACGTCACTGCGAATAATAGGCTTAGAGGTAGTATTCAAAGTTGCGAACTAAGTACCTATTATAAATATATATTTACTTTGCGTTTTGCACTCGGACCAAGAAGTCTAAAGTTCATCAGGTTATGAGCCCAAGTTCGTCAGACTCTGAAACCGCCAACAATTCAAGCTTAGCTGCCATGGACGCCTCCTCCCTCCGCATCTCCAAGTTCGATGGAACTAACTTCCACGCCTGGAAGTTCAAGATGCAGATGGTGCTGGAGGAACGGGACCTATGGGAGGTCGTCAGCGGTGAGATCAAGGCGGAACAGTGCGAGACTCAGTTGGACCAAGCGACGTACAAGAGGAAGTCAAGAAAGGCGATGGCAGTGATCTGTCTAGCCATGGAAGATTCCCAGCTACCGTTGGTCCGGTCGGCAAGTGGTGCATGCGACGCATGGTCAAGGTTGGAAGACCACTTCGAGAAGAAGAGTCTTGCCAACAAGCTGTTCTTGCGCCGTCGCTTCTTCACGACAATGATGGAAGAAGGCGACGATGTGCTCGAACACATCAACAAGCTCAAGACGCTGGCGGAACAGCTAGAAGCGGTGGGGGCTCCAGTCTGCGAGGACGATCTGGTGATCACACTCCTCGGCAGCCTGAGTGACTCGTATCAATTCTTGATCACAGCTTTGGAGTCGCGCTCAGACACTCTTAGCTGGGAGCTCGTGACGTCTCGACTGCTTCATGAAGAAATGAAGCGGAAGGAGCAAGGAAGTAAAGGTGATGAAGCTTCGCAAGGTCAAGCGTTCATCACAAGGGACAATCAGCGCAAAGGGCGACCAGTGAAGAAGTCCTGGCCGTGCCACAATTGCGGAAAGATTGGTCACTGGATGGCGGAGTGCCCCTCGCGCATCCAAGAAAACACGGAGAGACACCGGCCACAGCGTGCTCAAGACAGCGGCGACCGCTATCGATCACAACGTGCAAACGTCGCTCAAGAAGAAGACTCGGGCGACTACCTCTTTTCGATCGGTGAAACGACATCTGCGAAATCGAGCGACATCTGGCTGGTCGACTCCGGGGCGACGCAGCACATGACGTGCTCCAAGAAGTTCATGCGGAACTACAAGGGGTTTGACGCTGTGGATGTCCATCTCGCGGATGATGGAATCGTCCAAGCAATCGGCAGTGGGGACATTGTCATGTCGATGAAGACACCCCAAGGGATGAAGAAAGGTGTGCTCACAAACGTGTGGCACATCCCCAAGTTATCCAGAAACCTGTTCTCGGTCGGCCGCTTCACCAAGGATCGTCGGCCCAGTGACGTTCCGAGTTCGAGTAGGATGGGTGCTATGGAGAAGCGAAAGGCGCAAGTGGAAAAATGGTGCAAGCGCAGTAAGGACTGTTCAAGCTGCAAATGACTCCAGTGGCGCCGGAACAAGCAAATGCAGCCAAGTCGTCGGGATGTCAAGGGGGCTGCGCCTGCTGCGTACCTGGCTGTTGCAGACCAGTTACAGGATGCAAAGACATCAATGTGCATCGAGAAAGACCATGGCACCTTCGGCAAGCTACATAGGTGACGATAGGACTCAATTGCATCGTGACGAAGAACTTGTGGATTGGCATCGACATATCTTCGGTGAAGAAGTGGGACGTGTGTGAAGGTTGTGCTCTGGGAAAACAGACTCGAGTGCGCTTCCAATCAAACACTACAGCTCGCACCTCCAAACTCCTCGAAGTGATTCACAGCGACGTATGCGGACCGATGTCGATGGCAACTTTCAGTGGAAAACGGTACTTCGTGACATTCATTGATGACAAGTCAAGATACTGTGTCGTCTATCTGCTCAAGAGCAAATCTGAAGTTGCGGCGAAGTTCATGGAATACGCTGCGATGGCCGAAACGCAAACCGGAAAGCGCGTGAAGTACCTTCAAAGCGACAATGGGGGTGAATACAAGTCCGACAAGCTGGCACGATTCTGCGCGGAACGGGGAATACAACAAAGGTTCACACCCCCATATACTCCTCAGCTAAACGGAGTGGCTGAGAGAATGAATCGCATGCTGGTCGAGTGTGCGCGTTGCATGATGGAACACGCTGGACTGGGAAAGAGCTACTGGGGTGAAGCAGTGATGACGGCGATGTTTCTTCGAAACCGCTGTCCAACACGTGCCATTCACCAAGACAAGTCTCCATATCAAGTGTGGACGATGAAGAAACCGATTCTGGCCAACCTTAAAGTGTTTGGATGCCACGCGTATGTTCAAGTGCCTCAAGACAAACGCGCGAAGTTCGACTCCAAGTCATCACTCTGTCGTTTCCTGGGATACGCCGAACACCAGAAGTCATATCGATTTGAGGAAGTGTCAACAGGAGCGATCAAGATCAGTCGCGATGCCACATTCATGGAAGACAAGTTTGATGAAGGTCCGCGCAACTACAACGATGAGTCAAGTGTCGTTGAGTTTGATGATCATGATGAGGACGAAGAAAAAGAAGAAGGTAAAACTGACGACGACATGGACTCGAGCGACGATGACAACGAAGACACCAGGTCTTCGAAGAGCAACATCAAGAGACACACGCGCACTCAATCACTTGAGAAAGCTACCGTCATTCCAAGTCCCAAGCGAAGAACATACAGAGGTCCGTCGCTTGAGCATGTTTCAGCGGCTGCAATGGATTTTGAAGCAGCCTACATCGTTGATTCAGTGGGGGAAACGCCGACTACATTCAAGTCGGCGATGGAATCAAGCGACTCCGGCAAGTGGAAAGAAGCGTGTGACTCGGAGTTCGATTCGCTTCAGAGAAACGACACGTGGGAAATCGTGCCTCTTCCGAAAGGTCGCAAGGCCATCGGGTGCCGATGGGTTTTTCGTGTAAAGGAGAATCAAGATGGCGAAGTTGAACGTTTCAAGGCAAGACTTGTGGCCAAAGGATTCTCACAGAAATTCGGAGTTGACTATGAAGAAACTTTCGCACCGGTGGCCAAGTTCACATCGATTCGTGTGGTGCTCAGTATGGCGGCCAAGTACGGCCTAATGCTACATCAGATGGACGTCAAGACAGCGTTTCTTAACGGCTCCCTCAACGAAGACATCTACATGGACCAGCCGGACGGATACCTGGATGCAACACAGCCGGACTATGTGTGCAAGCTAAAGAGATCACTCTACGGCTTGAAGCAATCGCCTCGCATGTGGAACCAAACAATCGATGGGTTCATGATCAAGATGGGATTCAAGAAGTGCGAATCGGACCACTGCATCTACATCAAGCGAGACGACCAAGACATGATTCTCGTGGTGCTCTACGTCGATGATCTCATCCTGGCCAGCAGCAACAACGAACTCCTCAAGTCAACCAAGATGGCGCTGAGCAAACGCTTCGAAATGACGGATCTCGGTGAGCTCGATTACTTTCTCGGCATGGAGAACAAGAACGACCGTAAGACGGGAATGGTGACTGTACAACAAACCAAGTTTCTCAAGTCCGTGTTAACCAAGTTCGGAATGGATAACAGCAAGCCAGTGAAGACGCCTCAAGATCCCGGCCTGAAGCTAACCAAGAACATGTGTGAACAAGAATGCAAGCACGAAGACACCATGTGCAACGTGCCATATCGAAGTGCTGTCGGAGGCATCATGTATCTCATGGTCGCCACACGTCCGGATCTAGCTGCTGCAGTGGGATCATTATCCCAGTTCTCGTCCGACCCATGCCCGACTCACTGGCAAGCTTTGAAGCGTGTGCTGAGATACCTGCAAGCAACGCCCAATCATGGTCTTGAGTTTACACGTGAAGAAGGAAGCCATATCTGCGGGTACACCGACGCAGACTGGGCCGGCGACATTGAGTCAAGACGAAGTACAAGCGGCTATGTGTTCATGATGAGCGGAGGATGCATCAGCTGGAAAAGCCAGAAACAACGGACGGTCGCGCTATCTTCAACAGAAGCAGAATACATGGCGCTTTCCGAAGCAACCAAAGAAGCAGTATGGCTCAAAGTGCTTTTGGGGAACTTGGTGAGATGACAAGCGACGAAGCGATCAAGATGTATGAAGACAACCAAGGATCAATCGCTCTCGCCAAGAACCCGGAGTTCCATAAGAGAACAAAACACATCGACATACGCTACCATTTTGTGCGTGAGAAGGTGGAATCAGGTGAAGTCGTTTTGGAGTATTGCCCGACTCAAGATATGCTGGCAGACATGATGACCAAGCCGATCGCCGCTGTACAATTTGAAAACATTCGCGATCGACTTGGGATCCAAGGTGCCGCAGCTAACGAGTCGAGAGGGAGTGTTGAAAAGACAGCGGCTGTGAAGAAGACACCTCGTCAAGCTGCGTCAAGTGTTGAAGCAAGTGGAAGACCAAGCTTCGCTATACCGGTGGGTACCGGTATGTACCAGTAAGGGCGAAGTCAGGAAATGACGTCACTGGATGACGTCATTGCATGACGTCAGTGGGTGACGTCAGTGGGTGACGTCACTGGATGACGTCACTGCGAATAATAGGCTTAGAGGTAGTATTCAAAGTTGCGAACTAAGTACCTATTATAAATATATATTCACTTTGCGTTTTGCACTCGGACCAAGAAGTCTAAAGTTCATCACTCCGGCAAGTGGAAAGAAGCGTGTGACTCGGAGTTCGATTCGCTTCAGAGAAACGACACGTGGGAAATCGTGCCTCTTCCGAAAGGTCGCAAGGCCATCGGGTGCCGATGGGTTTTTCGTGTAAAGGAGAACCAAGATGGCGAAGTTGAACGTTTCAAGGCAAGACTTGTGGCCAAAGGATTCTCACAGAAATTCGGAGTTGACTATGAAGGAACTTTCGCACCGGTGGCCAAGTTCACATCGATTCGTGTGGTGCTCAGTATGGCGGCTAAGTACGGCCTAATGCTACATCAGATGGACGTCAAGACAGCGTTTCTTAACGGCTCCCTCAACGAAGACATCTACATGGACCAGCCGGACGGATACCTGGATGCAACACAGCCGGACTATGTGTGCAAGCTAAAGAGATCACTCTACGGCTTGAAGCAATCGCCTCGCATGTGGAACCAAACAATCGATGGGTTCATGATCAAGATGGGATTCAAGAAGTGCGAATCGGACCACTGCATCTACATCAAGCGAGACGACCAAGACATGATTCTCGTGGTGCTCTACGTCGATGATCTCATCCTGGCCAGCAGCAACAACGAACTCCTCAAGTCGACCAAGATGGCGCTGAGCAAACGCTTCGAAATGACGGATCTTGGTGAGCTCGATTACTTTCTCGGCATGGAGATCAAGAACGACCGTAAGACGGGAATGGTGACTGTACAACAAACCAAGTTTCTCAAGTCCGTGTTAACCAAGTTCGGAATGGATAACAGCAAGCCAGTGAAGACGCCTCAAGATCCCGGCCTGAAGCTAACCAAGAACATGTGTGAACAAGAATGCAAGCACGAAGACACCATGTGCAACGTGCCATATCGAAGTGCTGTCGGAGGCATCATGTATCTCATGGTCGCCACACGTCCGGATCTAGCTGCTGCAGTGGGATCATTATCCCAGTTCTCGTCCGACCCATGCCCGACTCACTGGCAAGCTTTGAAGCGTGTGCTGAGATACCTGCAAGCAACGCCCAATCATGGTCTTGAGTTTACACGTGAAGAAGGAAGCCGTATCTGCGGGTACACCGACGCAGACTGGGCCGGCGACATTGAGTCAAGACGAAGTACAAGCGGCAATGTGTTCATGATGAGCGGAGGATGCATCAGCTGGAAAAGCCAGAAACAACGGACGGTCGCGCTATCTTCAACAGAAGCAGAATACATGGCGCTTTCCGAAGCAACCAAAGAAGCAGTATGGCTCAAAGTGCTTTTGGGGAACTTGGTGAGATGACAAGCGACGAAGCGATCAAGATGTATGAAGACAACCAAGGATCAATCGCTCTCGCCAAGAACCCGGAGTTCCATAAGAGAACAAAACACATCGACATACGCTACCATTTTGTGCGTGAGAAGGTGGAATCAGGTGAAGTCGTTTTGGAGTATTGCCCGACTCAAGATATGCTGGCAGACATGATGACCAAGCCGATCGCCGCTGTACAATTTGAAAACATTCGCGATCGACTTGGGATCCAAGGTGCCGCAGCTAACGAGTCGAGAGGGAGTGTTGAAAAGACAGCGGCTGTGAAGAAGACACCTCGTCAAGCTGCGTCAAGTGTTGAAGCAAGTGGAAGACCAAGCTTCGCTATACCGGTGGGTACCGGTATGTACCAGTAAGGGCGAAGTCAGGAAATGACGTCACTGGATGACGTCATTGCATGACGTCAGTGGGTGACGTCAGTGGGTGACGTCACTGGATGACGTCACTGCGAATAATAGGCTTAGAGGTAGTATTCAAAGTTGCGAACTAAGTACCTATTATAAATATATATTCACTTTGCGTTTTGCACTCGGACCAAGAAGTCTAAAGTTCATCAAGTCCGACAAGCTGGCACGATTCTGCGCGGAACGGGGAATACAACAAAGGTTCACACCTCCATATACTCCTCAGCTAAACGGAGTAGCTGAGAGAATGAATCGCACGCTGGTCGAGTGTGCGCGTTGCATGATGGAACACGCTGGACTGGGAAAGAGCTACTGGGGTGAAGCAGTGATGACGGCGATGTTTCTTCGAAACCGCTGTCCAACACGTGCCATTCACCAAGACAAGTCTCCATATCAAGTGTGGACGATGAAGAAACCGATTCTGGCCAACCTTAAAGTGTTTGGATGCCACGCGTATGTTCAAGTGCCTCAAGACAAACGCGCGAAGTTCGACTCCAAGTCATCACTCTGTCGTTTCCTGGGATACGCCGAACACCAGAAGTCATATCGATTTGAGGAAGTGTCAACAGGAGCGATCAAGATCAGTCGCGATGCCACATTCATGGAAGACAAGTTTGATGAAGGTCCGCGCAACTACAACGATGAGTCAAGTGTCGTTGAGTTTGATGATCATGATGAGGACGAAGAAAAAGAAGAAGGTAAAACTGACGACGACATGGACTCGAGCGACGATGACAACGAAGACACCAGGTCTTCGAAGAGCAACATCAAGAGACACACGCGCACTCAATCACTTGAGAAAGCTACCGTCATTCCAAGTCCCAAGCGAAGAACATACAGAGGTCCGTCGCTTGAGCATGTGTCAGCGGCTGCAATGGATTTTGAAGCAGCCTACATCGTTGATTCAGTGGGGAAACGCCGACTACATTCAAGTCGGCGATGGAATCAAGCGACTCCGGCAAGTGGAAAGAAGCGTGTGACTCGGAGTTCGATTCGCTTCAGAGAAACGACACGTGGGAAATCGTGCCTCTTCCGAAAGGTCCGCAAGGCCATCGGGTGCCGATGGGTTTTTCGTGTAAAGGAGAATCAAGATGGCGAAGTTGAACGTTTCAAGGCAAGACTTGTGGCCAAAGGATTCTCACAGAAATTCGGAGTTGACTATGAAGAAACTTTCGCACCGGTGGCCAAGTTCACATCGATTCGTGTGGTGCTCAGTATGGCGGCTAAGTACGGCCTAATGCTACATCAGATGGACGTCAAGACAGCGTTTCTTAACGGCTCCCTCAACGAAGACATCTACATGGACCAGCCGGACGGATACCTGGATGCAACACAGCCGGACTATGTGTGCAAGCTAAAGAGATCACTCTACGGCTTGAAGCAATCGCCTCGCATGTGGAACCAAACAATCGATGGGTTCATGATCAAGATGGGGATTCAAGAAGTGCGAATCGGACCACTGCATCTACATCAAGCGAGACGACCAAGACATGATTCTCGTGGTGCTCTACGTCGATGATCTCATCCTGGCCAGCAGCAACAACGAACTCCTCAAGTCAACCAAGATGGCGCTGAGCAAACGCTTCGAAATGACGGATCTCGGTGAGCTCGATTACTTTCTCGGCATGGAGATCAAGAACGACCGTAAGACGGGAATGGTGACTGTACAACAAACCCAAGTTTCTCAAGTCCGTGTTAACCAAGTTCGGAATGGATAACAGCAAGCCAGTGAAGACGCCTCAAGATCCCGGCCTGAAGCTAACCAAGAACATGTGTGAACAAGAATGCAAGCACGAAGACACCATGTGCAACGTGCCATATCGAAGTGCTGTCGGAGGCATCATGTATCTCATGGTCGCCACACGTCCGGATCTAGCTGCTGCAGTGGGATCATTATCCCAGTTCTCGTCCGACCCATGCCCGACTCACTGGCAAGCTTTGAAGCGTGTGCTGAGATACCTGCAAGCAACGCCCAATCATGGTCTTGAGTTTACACGTGAAGAAGGAAGCCGTATCTGCGGGTACACCGACGCAGACTGGGCCGGCGGCATTGAGTCAAGACGAAGTACAAGCGGCTATGTGTTCATGATGAGCGGAGGATGCATCAGCTGGAAAAGCCAGAAACAACGGACGGTCGCGCTATCTTCAACAGAAGCAGAATACATGGCGCTTTCCGAAGCAACCAAAGAAGCAGTATGGCTCAAAGTGCTTTTGGGGGAACTTGGTGAGATGACAAGCGACGAAGCGATTAAGATGTATGAAGACAACCAAGGATCAATCGCTCTCGCCAAGAACCCGGAGTTCCATAAGAGAACAAAACACATCGACATACGCTACCATTTTGTGCGTGAGAAGGTGGAATCAGGTGAAGTCGTTTTGGAGTATTGCCCGACTCAAGATATGCTGGCAGACATGATGACCAAGCCGATCGCCGCTGTACAATTTGAAAACATTCGCGATCGACTTGGGATCCAAGGTGCCGCAGCTAACGAGTCGAGAGGGAGTGTTGAAAAGACAGCGGCTGTGAAGAAGACACCTCGTCAAGCTGCGTCAAGTGTTGAAGCAAGTGGAAGACCAAGCTTCGCTATACCGGTGGGTACCGGTATGTACCAGTAAGGGCGAAGTCAGGAAATGACGTCAGTGGGTGACGTCAGTGGGTGACGTCACTGCGAATAATAGGCTTAGAGGTAGTATTCAAAGTTGCGAACTAAGTACCTATTATAAATATATATTCACTTTGCGTTTTGCACTCGGACCAAGAAGTCTAAAGTTCATCACGCTTGTCACGGTTTCTCGAGAATAATTTTGAAACATCTTCCCTTCCTGGCATTCTCGACACACACTTGGTCCATTCGGTTTGAGAGGGATGTAAGCGTCTTTAATCATGTTGCTTGTCACCATCTTGCGAAGTACGTCGACTGAAGCATGGCCCATTCGCGCATGAAGATCTTCAAATTTCAGCCGCGAAGTAGCAATCACAGATCGTTGTGATGTGCGAAGCCAGTAGGGTCCATTCATAATATCCGCCATCGCCACCACTTGCTTGGAGTCTTTGTGCAAACTCTTTATCTCACTTTTATCAAACACCACTTGGAACTTGCCGCTTTTGTTAATCTGGGGTATCGACAGTAGGTTCTTGTTCATGCTTGAGACATTAAGTGCATCCTCGATTTCAACTTCGCGCTCTTCACCGTTTGGTAGGACCACCTTTTCGACGATAGTCCCAACTCTATTGATCGCAGCCTTGTTTCCGTCTGCAACCAGCACATCACCTTCATTGCGCTCGTCCAGAACTTCAAACTTGGACTTTTCATAGAAGATGTGGTGCGTTGCTGCTGTAAATCGCCCACATTCCCACCATGGTCTTGGCTGTCGAAAGCTCGCATTCCAGCGAAACAGCAAACGCCACTCAATCATGGTCGTAGTGTTTGCCGTTGCCGTTGTAGCCGTGCCATTGGACTTGATTTGCTCCGCGTCCACGAGCCCAATGGCACGGCCCTTGTTGCCGCTGCGTCGATCTCCTCGGTCGTCTTCCCTCTGTTTGGTCCAGCACTTTATCACCATGTGCCCCAATCTTCCGCAGAACGTACATTGACGGAATTCACGCTCGTGCTGAAGGCCTTGGTCGCTTCTTCAGTCTTCACCAATGTCGTCTTGTTTTGTTGTCTCTTGATGTGCTCATTCGTAAGCACTCTCACGACGTCTTGCGACCGCAGTTCTGCGCTGCTCATCTCCAAGTTGAGAACAACGTTCTCATAGCTCTTGGGGAGACTGCGCAACAAACGGATCGCCACGTCTTTGTCCTCCATCTTAGCGCCGACGCTGCTGAACTTAGCGCTGATGTTGAGAACGTTGTTGCAATGATGCATGACATTGCCGCCTTCCTCCATCTCCATGCTGAACAGCTGGCGCTTCAAGTAGATGCATCTCACCTTCTGAGATCCGCCGTAGAGAGTCTTCAACCGTGCCCACGCAACCCACGCTTCTTTACACTCATCAACCACATCATGGTAATCCGCGCTCATCTGAGGCAGCATCAAGCCGATCGCAATGTAGTTCGTCTTGACATACTCGTCACTAGCGCGAGGATCAGCGAAGGCGGGGGGTGGTCTCCCGGATGACTACGTACCACGTCGACTTGGTCAGGAACACGCCGCGCATGTAGCGGCTCCACGTCGCATATTTTTTTACCATCGAATTTGTCGATGCAGATCTTGGTGGCGGAATCTTGAGCAGAGGACATCGCGCTTAGGCTTATAACCTGTTAAAGTCTGAAGAGCACTTGATGAGAGAACCGAAGCTTGAAGAAACGAAAGAAGTCTGCACTGCAAAGTGTAGACGACTTACGACGGAGAAGGAAATCTTTGGAAGTGAATTTATTTCTGGGTTGTTTAAGCTACCTGATTGATCCATGTCCTGATTCATGTATTTTGCACATTTAAATCATAAATCATAGAACATGTAGGTCATCCAATCTTCCTATGCGTCTAATCATTGGTAAGCGCTCACCGTAATTACGCGAGACCGACTTGGACAGGTTTACGGTTTACACGGTATCTGATAATAGTACCTTAACCGTCAACCCACGATACGCCCCCTCAATGCGAACACGCGTGTATGCCAAGCGCTGCCGTCAATTCCGTGTGACGCGGTCCTGGCAGTCCCTTTGTCATGATGTCCGCCATCATCATCGCAGTCTCACAGTGCTCCGACTTGTCATCACCACGCTTGACTTCATCGCGACTGTGGTGGTACTTGGTGTTGACGTGATTGGCCCGACCATGGTTCACAGGATTCTTCGTCATCTTGATGCACGATTGATTGTCTTCCATGATCTTGAGCTCGGGTCTGGGCTTGTCCTCTGCGGCATTCAGAATCTCGCATAACAGGCGATGCACCCACTTGCCTTCTTTAATTGCCAGACTTAGCGCGACGTACTCTGCTTCGCTTGTCGATAGCGATACGCTTGATTGCTTCTTGCTTTTCCAGCTTATCGGAGCACCCATCAGGATAGACGCACATTCTGAAGTCGACTTGCGGTCTTCATGATCACTGGGCTAGTCTGCATCCGAGTCGCCACATAAATCCACCTTGTTGTCGGGTTTAACGAAGATGCCGTGTGACTTGGTTTCTTGTAGATAACGAAGAATTCGCTTGACTGCCATCCAATGCTCGACTTGGGGTTTGTTGAAAAGACAGCGGCTGTGAAGAAGACACCTCGTCAAGCTGCGTCAAGTGTTGAAGCAAGTGGAAGACCAAGCTTCGCTATACCGGTGGGTACCGGTATGTACCAGTAAGGGCGAAGTCAGGAAATGACGTCACTGGATGACGTCATTGCATTACGTCAGTGGGTGACGTCACTGGATGACGTCACTGCGAATAATAGGCTTAGAGGTAGTATTCAAAGTTGCGAACTAAGTACCTATTATAAATATATATTCACTTTGCGTTTTGCACTCGGACCAAGAAGTCTAAAGCTTATCAGGTTATGAGCCCAAGTTCGTCAGACTCTGAAACCGCCAACAATTCAAGCTTAGCTGCCATGGACGCCTCCTCCCTCCGCATCTCCAAGTTCGATGGAACTAACTTCCACGCCTGGAAGTTCAAGATGCAGATGGTGCTGGAGGAACGGGACCTATGGGAGGTCGTCAGCGGTGAGATCAAGGCAGAACAGTGCGAGACTCAGTTGGACCAAGCGACGTACAAGAGGAAGTCAAGAAAGGCGATGGCAGTGATCTGTCTAGCCATGGAAGATTCCCAGCTACCGTTGGTCCGGTCGGCAAGTGGTGCATGCGACGCATGGTCAAGGTTGGAAGACCACTTCGAGAAGAAGAGTCTTGCCAACAAGCTGTTCTTGCGCCGTCGCTTCTTCACGACAATGATGGAAGAAGGCGACGATGTGCTCGAACACATCAACAAGCTCAAGACGCTGGCGGAACAGCTAGAAGCGGTGGGGGCTCCAGTCTGCGAGGACGATCTGGTGATCACACTCCTCGGCAGCCTGAGTGACTCGTATCAATTCTTGATCACAGCTTTGGAGTCGCGCTCAGACACTCTTAGCTGGGAGCTCGTGACGTCTCGACTGCTTCATGAAGAAATGAAGCGGAAGGAGCAAGGAAGTAAAGGTGATGAAGCTTCGCAAGGTCAAGCGTTCATCACAAGGGACAATCAGCGCAAAGGGCGACCAGTGAAGAAGTCCTGGCCGTGCCACAATTGCGGAAAGATTGGTCACTGGATGGCGGAGTGCCCCTCGCGCATCCAAGAAAACACGGAGAGACACCGGCCACAGCGTGCTCAAGACAGCGGCGACCGCTATCGATCACAACGTGCAAACGTCGCTCAAGAAGAAGACTCGGGCGACTACCTCTTTTCGATCGGTGAAACGACATCTGCGAAATCGAGGCGACATCTGGCTGGTCGACTCCGGGGCGACGCAGCACATGACGTGCTCAAGAAGTTCATGCGGAACTACAAGGGGTTTGACGCTGTGGATGTCCATCTCGCGGATGATGGAATCGTCAAGCAATCGGCAGTGGGGACATTGTCATGTCGATGAAGACACCCCAAGGGATGAAGAAAGGTGTGCTCACAAACGTGTGGCACATCCCAAAGTTATCCAGAAACCTGTTCTCGGTCGGCCGCTTCACCAAGGATGTCGGCCCAGTGACGTTCACGAAGGATGGGTGCTATGGAGAAGCGAAAGGGACCAAGTGGAAAATTGGTGCCCGTGAAGGTAAAGGACTGTTCAAGCTGCAAATGACTCCAGTGGCGCCGGAACAAGCAAATGCAGCCAAGTCGTCGGGATGTCAAGGGGCACCAAGTCGTACCTCTGGCACCTTCGGCTTGGCCACATAGGTCACGATGGACTCAATTGCATCGTGACGAAGAACATTGGAATTGGCATCGACATATCTTCGGTGAAGAAGTGGGACGTGTGTGAAGGTTGTGCTCTGGGAAAACAGACTCGAGTGCGCTTCCAATCAAACACTACAGCTCGCACCTCCAAACTCCTCGAAGTGATTCACAGCGACGTATGCGGACCGATGTCGATGGCAACTTTCAGTGGAAAACGGTACTTCGTGACATTCATTGATGACAAGTCAAGATACTGTGTCGTCTATCTGCTCAAGAGCAAATCTGAAGTTGCGGCGAAGTTCATGGAATACGCTGCGATGGCCGAAACGCAAACCGGAAAGCGCGTGAAGTACCTTCAAAGCGACAATGGGGGGTGAATACAAGTCCGACAAGCTGGCACGATTCTGCGCGGAACGGGGAATACAACAAAGGTTCACACACCCATATACTCCTCAGCTAAACGGAGTGGCTGAGAGAATGAATCGCATGCTGGTCGAGTGTGCGCGTTGCATGATGGAACACGCTGGACTGGGAAAGAGCTACTGGGGTGAAGCAGTGATGACGGCGATGTTTCTTCGAAACCGCTGTCCAACACGTGCCATTCACCAAGACAAGTCTCCATATCAAAGTGTGGACGATGAAGAAACCGATTCTGGCCAACCTTAAAGTGTTTGGATGCCACGCGTATGTTCAAGTGCCTCAAGACAAACGCGCGCGAAGTTCGACTCCAAGTCATCACTCTGTCGTTTCCTGGGATACGCCGAACACCAGAAGTCATATCGATTTGAGGAAGTGTCAACAGGAGCGATCAAGATCAGTCGCGATGCCACATTCATGGAAGACAAGTTTGATGAAGGTCCGCGCAACTACAACGATGAGTCAAGTGTCGTTGAGTTTGATGATCATGATGAGGACGAACAAAAAGAAGAAGGTAAAACTGACGACGACATGGACTCGAGCGACGATGACAACGAAGACACCAGGTCTTCGAAGAGCAACATCAAGAGACACACGCGCACTCAATCACTTGAGAAAGCTACCGTCATTCCAAGTCCCAAGCGAAGAACATACAGAGGTCCGTCGCTTGAGCATGTTTCAGCGGCTGCAATGGATTTTGAAGCAGCCTACATCGTTGATTCAGTGGGGAAACGCCGACTACATTCAAGTCGGCGATGGAATCAAGCGACTCCGGCAAGTGGAAAGAAGCGTGTGACTCGGAGTTCGATTCGCTTCAGAGAAACGACACGTGGGAAATCGTGCCTCTTCCGAAAGGTCGCAAGGCCATCGGGTGCCGATGGGTTTTTCGTGTAAAGGAGAATCAAGATGGCGAAGTTGAACGTTTCAAGGCAAGACTTGTGGCCAAAGGATTCTCACAGAAATTCGGAGTTGACTATGAAGAAACTTTCGCACCGGTGGCCAAGTTCACATCGATTCGTGTGGTGCTCAGTATGGCGGCCAAGTACGGCCTAATGCTACATCAGATGGACGTCAAGACAGCGTTTCTTAACGGCTCCCTCAACGAAGACATCTACATGGACCAGCCGGACGGATACCTGGATGCAACACAGCCGGACTATGTGTGCAAGCTAAAGAGATCACTCTACGGCTTGAAGCAATCGCCTCGCATGTGGAACCAAACAATCGATGGGTTCATGATCAAGATGGGATTCAAGAAGTGCGAATCGGACCACTGCATCTCACATCAAGCGAGACGACCAAGACATGATTCTCGTGGTGCTCTACGTCGATGATCTCATCCTGGCCAGCAGCAACAACGAACTCCTCAAGTCAACCAAGATGGCGCTGAGCAAACGCTTCGAAATGACGGATCTCGGTGAGCTCGATTACTTTCTCGGCATGGAGATCAAGAACGACCGTAAGACGGGAATGGTGACTGTACAACAAACCAAGTTTCTCAAGTCCGTGTTAACCAAGTTCGGAATGGATAACAGCAAGCCAGTGAAGACGCCTCAAGATCCCGGCCTGAAGCTAACCAAGAACATGTGTGAACAAGAATGCAAGCACGAAGACACCATGTGCAACGTGCCATATCGAAGTGCTGTCGGAGGCATCATGTATCTCATGGTCGCCACACGTCCGGATCTAGCTGCTGCAGTGGGATCATTATCCCAGTTCTCGTCCGACCCATGCCCGACTCACTGGCAAGCTTTGAAGCGTGTGCTGAGATACCTGCAAGCAACGCCCAATCATGGTCTTGAGTTTACACGTGAAGAAGGAAGCCATATCTGCGGGTACACCGACGCAGACTGGGCCGGCGACATTGAGTCAAGACGAAGTACAAGCGGCTATGTGTTCATGATGAGCGGAGGATGCATCAGCTGGAAAAGCCAGAAACAACGGACGGTCGCGCTATCTTCAACAGAAGCAGAATACATGGCGCTTTCCGAAGCAACCAAAGAAGCAGTATGGCTCAAAGTGCTTTTGGGGGAACTTGGTGAGATGACAAGCGACGAAGCGATCAAGATGTATGAAGACAACCAAGGATCAATCGCTCTCGCCAAGAACCCGGAGTTCCATAAGAGAACAAAACACATCGACATACGCTACCATTTTGTGCGTGAGAAGGTGGAATCAGGTGAAGTCGTTTTGGAGTATTGCCCGACTCAAGATATGCTGGCAGACATGATGACCAAGCCGATCGCCGCTGTACAATTTGAAAACATTCGCGATCGACTTGGGATCCAAGGTGCCGCAGCTAACGAGTCGAGAGGGAGTGTTGAAAAGACAGCGGCTGTGAAGAAGACACCTCGTCAAGCTGCGTCAAGTGTTGAAGCAAGTGGAAGACCAAGCTTCGCTATACCGGTGGGTACCGGTATGTACCAGTAAGGGCGAAGTCAGGAAATGACGTCACTGGATGACGTCATTGCATGACGTCAGTGGGTGACGTCAGTGGGTGACGTCACTGGATGACGTCACTGCGAATAATAGGCTTAGAGGTAGTATTCAAAGTTGCGAACTAAGTACCTATTATAAATATATATTCACTTTGCGTTTTGCACTCGGACCAAGAAGTCTAAAGTTCATCAAAGTGTGTGCCGAGGATGTCAGTGATGAACTTTAGACTTCTTGGTCCGAGTGCAAAACGCAAAGTGAATATATATTTATAATAGGTACTTAGTTCGCAACTTTGAATACTACCTCTAAGCCTATTATTCGCAGTGACGTCATCCAGTGACGTCACCCACTGACGTCACCCACTGACGTCATGCAATGACGTCATCCAGTGACGTCATTTCCTGACTTCGCCCTTACTGGTACATACCGGTACCCACCGGTATAGCGAAGCTTGGTCTTCCACTTGCTTCAACACTTGACGCAGCTTGACGAGGTGTCTTCTTCACAGCCGCTGTCTTTTCAACACTCCCTCTCGACTCGTTAGCTGCGGCACCTTGGATCCCAAGTCGATCGCGAATGTTTTCAAATTGTACAGCGGCGATCGGCTTGGTCATCATGTCTGCCAGCATATCTTGAGTCGGGCAATACTCCAAAACGACTTCACCTGATTCCACCTTCTCACGCACAAAATGGTAGCGTATGTCGATGTGTTTTGTTCTCTTATGGAACTCCGGGTTCTTGGCGAGAGCGATTGATCCTTGGTTGTCTTCATACATCTTGATCGCTTCGTCGCTTGTCATCTCACCAAGTTCCCCCAAAAGCACTTTGAGCCATACTGCTTCTTTGGTTGCTTCGGAAAGCGCCATGTATTCTGCTTTTGTTGAAGATAGCGCGACCGTCCGTTGTTTCTGTCTTTTCCAGCTGATGCATGACAGTCTGCGTCGGTGTACCCGCAGATACGGCTTCCTTCTTCACGTGTAAACTCAAGACCATGATTGGGCGTTGCTTGCAGGTATCTCAGCACACGCTTCAAAGCTTGCCAGTGAGTCGGGCATGGGTCGGACGAGAACTGGGATAATGATCCCACTGCAGCAGCTAGATCCGGACGTGTGGCGACCATGAGATACATGATGCCTCCGACAGCACTTCGATATGGCACGTTGCACATGGTGTCTTCGTGCTTGCATTCTTGTTCACACATGTTCTTGGTTAGCTTCAGGCCGGGATCTTGAGGCGTCTTCACTGGCTTGCTGTTATCCATTCCGAACTTGGTTAACACGGACTTGAGAAACTTGGTTTGTTGTACAGTCACCATTCCCGTCTTACGGTCGTTCTTGATCTCCATGCCGAGAAAGTAATCGAGCTCACCGAGATCCGTCATTTCGAAGCGTTTGCTCAGCGCCATCTTGGTTGACTTGAGGAGTTCGTTGTTGCTGCTGGCCAGGATGAGATCATCGACGTAGAGCACCACGAGAATCATGTCTTGGTCGTCTCGCTTGATGTAGATGCAGTGGTCCGATTCGCACTTCTTGAATCCCATCTTGATCATGAACCCATCGATTGTTTGGTTCCACATGCGAGGCGATTGCTTCAAGCCGTAGAGTGATCTCTTTAGCTTGCACACATAGTCCGGCTGTGTTGCATCCAGGTATCCGTCCGGCTGGTCCATGTAGATGTCTTCGTTGAGGGAGCCGTTAAGAAACGCTGTCTTGACGTCCATCTGATGTAGCATTAGGCCGTACTTAGCCGCCATACTGAGCACCACACGAATCGATGTGAACTTGGCCACCGGTGCGAAAGTTTCTTCATAGTCAACTCCGAATTTCTGTGAGAATCCTTTGGCCACAAGTCTTGCCTTGAAACGTTCAACTTCGCCATCTTGATTCTCCTTTACACGAAAAACCCATCGGCACCCGATGGCCTTGCGACCTTTCGGAAGAGGCACGATTTCCCACGTGTCGTTTCTCTGAAGCGAATCGAACTCCAAGTCACACGCTTCTTTCCACTTGCCGGAGTCGCTTGATTCCATCGCCGACTTGAATGTAGTCGGCGTTTCCCCCACTGAATCAACGATGTAGGCTGCTTCAAAATCCATTGCAGCCGCTGACACATGCTCAAGCGACGGACCTCTGTATGTTCTTCGCTTGGGACTTGGAATGACGGTAGCTTTCTCAAGTGATTGAGTGCGCGTGTGTCTCTTGATGTTGCTCTTCGAAGACCTGGTGTCTTCGTTGTCATCGTCGCTCGAGTCCATGTCGTCGTCAGTTTTACCTTCTTCTTTTTCTTCGTCCTCATCATGATCATCAAACTCAACGACACTTGACTCATCGTTGTAGTTGCGCGGACCTTCATCAAACTTGTCTTCCATGAATGTGGCATCGCGACTGATCTTGATCGCTCCTGTTGACACTTCCTCAAATCGATATGACTTCTGGTGTTCGGCGTATCCCAGGAAACGACAGAGTGATGACTTGGAGTCGAACTTCGCGCGTTTGTCTTGAGGCACTTGAACATACGCGTGGCATCCAAACACTTTAAGGTTGGCCAGAATCGGTTTCTTCATCGTCCACACTTGATATGGAGACTTGTCTTGGTGAATGGCACGTGTTGGACAGCGGTTTCGAAGAAACATCGCCGTCATCACTGCTTCACCCCAGTAGCTCTTTCCCAGTCCAGCGTGTTCCATCATGCAACGCGCACACTCGACCAGCGTGCGATTCATTCTCTCAGCTACTCCGTTTAGCTGAGGAGTATATGGGTGTGTGAACCTTTGTTGTATTCCCCGTTCCGCGCAGAATCGTGCCAGCTTGTCGGACTTGTATTCACCCCCATTGTCGCTTTGAAGGTACTTCACGCGCTTTCCGGTTTGCGTTTCGGCCATCGCAGCGTATTCCATGAACTTCGCCGCAACTTCAGATTTGCTCTTGAGCAGATAGACGACACAGTATCTTGACTTGTCATCAATGAATGTCACGAAGTACCGTTTTCCACTGAAAGTTGCCATCGACATCGGTCCCGCATACGTCGCTGTGAATCACTTCGAGGAGTTTGGAGGTGCGAGCTGTAGTGTTTGATTGGAAGCGCACTCGAGTCTGTTTTCCCAGAGCACAACCTTCACACACGTCCCACTTCTTCACCGAAGATATGTCGATGCCAATTCCAATGTTCTTCGTCACGATGCAATTGAGTCCATCGTGACCTATGTGGCCAAGCCGAAGGTGCCAGAGGTACGACTTGGTGCCCCCTTGACATCCCGACGACTTGGCTGCATTTGCTTGTTCCGGCGCCACTGGAGTCATTTGCAGCTTGAACAGTCCTTTACCTTCACGGGCACCAATTTTCCACTTGGTCCCTTTCGCTTCTCCATAGCACCCATCCTTCGTGAACGTCACTGGGCCGACATCCTTGGTGAAGCGGCCGACCGAGAACAGGTTTCTGGATAACTTTGGGATGTGCCACACGTTTGTGAGCACACCTTTGTTCATCCCTTGGGGTGTCTTCATCGACATGACAATGTCCCCACTGCCGATTGCTTGGACGATTCCATCATTCGCGAGATGGACATCCACAGCGTCAAACCCCTTGTAGTTCCGCATGAACTTCTTGGAGCACGTCATGTGCTGCGTCGCCCCGGAGTCGACCAGCCAGATGTCGCTCGATTTCGCAGATGTCGTTTCACCGATCGAAAAGAGGTAGTCGCCCGAGTCTTCTTCTTGAGCGACGTTTGCACGTTGTGATCGATAGCGGTCGCCGCTGTCTTGGCACGCTGTGGCCGGTGTCTCTCCGTGTTTTCTTGGATGCGCGAGGGCACTCCGCCATCCAGTGATTAATCTTTCCGCAATTGTGGCACGGCCAGGACTTCTTCACTGGTCGCCCTTTGCGCTGATTGTCCCTTGTGATGAACGCTTGACCTTGCGAAGCTTCATCACCTTTACTTCCTTGCTCCCTTCCGCTTCATTTCTTCATGAAGCAGTCGAGACGGTCACGAGCTCCCAGCTAAGAGTGTCTGAGCGCGACTCCAAAGCTGTGATCAAGAATTGATACGAGTCACTCAGGCTGCCGAGGAGTGGTGATCACCAGATCGTCCTCGCAGACTGGAGCCCTCACCGCTTCTAGCTGTTCCGCCAGCGTCTTGAGCTTGTTGATGTGTTCCAGGCACATCGTCGCTCCTTCTTCCATCATTGTCGTGAAGAAGCGACGGCGCAAGAACGGCGATGTTGGCAAGACTCTTCTTCTCGAAGTGGTCTTCCAACCTTGACCATGCGTCGCATGCCCCTTGCCGACCGGACCACGGTAGCTGGGAATCTTCCATGGCTAGACAGATCACTGCCATCGCCTTTCTTGCACTTCCCTCTTGTACGTCGCTTGGTCAACTGAGTCTCGCACTGTTCCGCCTTGGTCACCGCTGACGACCTCCCATAGGTCCCGTTCCTCCCTCCATCTGCATCTTCTGCATCTTACCAGGCGTGGAAGTTAGTTCCATCGAACTTGGAGATGCGGGAGGAGGAGGCGTCCATGGCAGCTAAAAGCAAGGATTGTTGGCGGTTTCAGAGTCCTGACGA